CACATCAACGAGTTTTTGTATTTCCCACTTGTTTAAATAGACTGCAAATAATTTTTGCTGTTGTAATTTGTTTTGCTAAATAAATCATTGTATTTTACCAGCATTATTGTCTATTGTATGTAACTTTATTTAAAGTACCTGTTAAGTATTTGCAAAATAAAAGTATTGAAAGGCTAAAAATAAATTTATATATTTTTCAATTCATATATACACTTGTATAATCTCTTAAATATTTATGATTAGAATATTCAAATATAAATTGTCAAAATTAACATTTTTAATAAATCACAAATAAATTGCATTACCATGGTATAAACAAGTATTAATATAATTAATAAATTAAACAATGTACTTTTAAATAGCTCATAAATTTATAATGCAAATACATAGAAAGTAAATTGACATTAGAATTATCTAATAAATTAATTATATTAGTTTTTAAGATTCAGCATATGTCGATTATTCACACACGTTTGATATGTTGTGTCTAATGAAATAACAATTGTTTTATCATGAAACAACAAATCCCATTATAATAAATTATATTATATAATCAATGGTAAATTGTTTGTTGAATAAATAGGACCAACACTGTCCACTTATTATTATTTCTATTACTCTTTTGGAGGTATATCTAAAATTAATGTAAAAACAACTAATTTTATAATGTTAATATAGATATAGATTTTATTTAACACAATTATAATTAATTAGATCTAGTACTTTTGCCTACTAAACAACAAAAGATTAATTTTAAATATATAAACTTCATCAAAATATTAAATAATCAAATAAACAATTATTTATTAAAGTAGGAGACTTATAGATATGGTTAGCCAACGGGGTGAAAATAGTGCCGGGATAGCAACTTAAGGTTAGCTTAGATACAATATATATCTGTTAAGTCTAAATCATTGAATTACTTAACAACAATTTACTAAAGTTGTTTAGTTTTATGTTTCTTACGTTGATTGTATTGTCACCCTTACAGTTGCACTTTAGTAGCTTACAGTTTAGCGAATACTACTTATAGATAATCAATCATGATATCCTTATATTTTTGCTATATTAAAACATTGTGACGCACAGAATTCACTAATATGCACTAATACTTGAAAAACAGAAACGTTGTCAAATCAATATTTAGAAATTATTCTGTGTGAGATAACACCTGTCATGCATGTGACTATTTTTATCATTGTCATTGCACTGTATATAAAGAGCATTATTAATTATTAAAAAGAATAAGTTGCAATTAAAAACAACCATGAAGGTTTTAATACTGTTTATTGTACCCCTGCTAGTAATAGCCGATGCTAGCCCTGTGACTGAGCAAGCAAAGTTTACAGGTAAAATATGGGTAGTGTTAGCCGGTTGTAATGAAGGTTGGGACAATTATTCAATTAAGGTAAATAGTAATTTATACTGTTTAAACTGTATAAAGTTATATGAATAATTTATCTGGATAATTTTAAAAATATAGGCAAACGTATACCGGGCTTATCAAATGATTCGCGGGAACGGTATTCCCGAGGAAAACATCATAGTTATGCAACCGGACGATATCGCCAACAATAAACTAAACCCAACACCTGGTAAAGTTAAAAGTGAATTCACCGGCAGCGATGTCTACCACGGAGTGCCCAAACACTATACCGGAGCCGATGTTTCTGTTGAGGTAATATTTAATTAATTAATTTTGATGTAATAATAATTAATTTACTTACAATTCATTTGATGTAGAACTTTTTGGGTGTACTTAAAGGAGACCCGAAGTTAGCCGCGCGTGGAAAGCGAGTGGTGAACAGTGGACCCAATGATCATATATTTGTCTATACTATTGGTCATGGAGATGATAGTAATAAAATTAATCATGCTCATTTATCATTAAATTCTTTCTCTCTCTCTCTCTCTCTCTCTCAAAATAGTCACATTATAACACTTAATTTAAATTAATTACCTTGTTTATATAGAGTATACAGAGTGGCCAAATAATACCACACTAACAGCTGAGCGATTAAATAATGCACTTAAAGAAATGCATCAAAACAATAGATTTGCTAAACTAGTATATTATATGGAAGCTTGTGAATCAGGTAATGATGTTTTTCCACTAGATCATTCTTAAAATATGTAATTACTTAAAATTATTGTCTATAATAACAGGTTCGATGTGGGCAAATTTTTTGCCAAACAATATTAACGTATACGCCGTCGCGTCGTCCAAAGCGGGTCAAATCAGTCGACAGGCGTTTTGCTACTTTAAGCCCAACAAAGATATGGACTATTGTCATGGTAAGTGTGTTTAATATACAAGGTCAAATATGTATTGGCAACAACTCTGATATTATGTGTTTATTTTAAAACACACAAAAATTCAATTAGGGTCATGTGTAATTTCATGTATTTTATATATGCTTGTTTATTGTGCATATAAAGTTATTTACATAATTTATATTTTTAAATTACCAGGTAGTTTATTTAGCCACTACTGGTTGCTCGACAGCGAACGAACTGACCTAAGTAAGGAGACATTGCAGCAACAATTTGAATACATATTTAAAACTGGTAACCTTATTGACCCAATTATTGTACCAAGCCACGAAATTCCACAACAATCGCTGCAATTTGGTGATTTATCAATCGCTAAACTATCTGTCTCAGAATTTATGGGCAATAGAATAAAATAATTTATGTTGCTAAACTTTATTAATTTATTTAAAAAAAATAAAAATAAAATTTATTTATATGTTAAGAAAACTTTTACAATTATTTAAATATACATTTTTCATCAAAACATTAAAATAATAAATGTATAATTGTTAAATCTATAGTCAATAGAAGTATTTTTATACAAATACTTATATATCAGGTAAGTAATATGACACAAAATTAATTATTCAATCATAAATTCAATAAACAAGCCAGCAATTGACAGTAAATATCCCATTAATAATAATACAAATACATTACGAAACATGTCATATAATTCAATGGCACTCTCGGTAGAAAATTCATATTTTACAAAGTTGTCAAAATTATCAGACTTTTTACTATATAGTATCTCGTGAACAATTGATTTGAATTTGTCTAAATGATCAGGCACGCCATTTTCACTCATTTGTTTATACCTAAAATAAAATATATTAAAACAGACCAAGGTAGTTTTAAAATATAAACATACATGAAACACATTTGCCGGTAATATTTATGACCCTTCCGTACAATAAAATACTTCATTCCGGGAAAATATTTGTGTTCACTAATGGCATACATGTCAGACATTTGCCTGTATTTCCATACAAACCTATTGACCACTACGGTTCGCGCGATGTAAACCACCTTGCCACTTAATATATCATTAGCCACTTTCGGGTTAAACGCAATTGCCCTGTTAAGTTCTATGCCTTTACTAGCTAGATAATCATCGTATTTAAAAAATCTTTTTTCTACTTCAGTTATTACAGACTTATATTCAGGTAAATGTTTTATGGTGTTGGGAAAATAGCCATGGTACGAATTTACCAACACTAGTAGCTTTTTATTTTTAATTATATCGTCCAATGTATTGACTATTGGTATGTGTTTTATATTAGAATATGAGTTCAATAATAGACCGGTAAAAGAACTCGTTATGATTACTGTACTTATTATCCATATATACATCACTAAAGCCATTGGATTAATATGTAATCCTTCGTTGCGCTCAATGTTTTTGTATTTACTCAATACAATCGATCCCTGATTTAAGAGAGTCTTATATATTTGAATCAACGCATTGAAGCTGGAAGTGATTTTGATTGTAGGTGAATATTTTACCAATTGTGATACCATAACGGATACAATTAATAGACAAATCCAGATCTATAAAATAGTATGTAAAATTTATCAACATCATTTAAAATAATTTATTTAAACAATATTATTTAAAATTTGTTTTAATTACCTTAATGTCAAATAATTTTAATAATGCAAAGTACGAGATATCCTTGGTTAATTTCAGACCAGATATTATAATTAACAAATATTCATCTTGCACATGAATGCCCGTAAATGTTTTAAGCATTCGGATCAAGATCACATCATCAACAAAATTAGAGTGCGATATAACCTAAATAATTAGTTAATATTTTTAGTTTAAAATTATTGCTAATAATTTTATTTTATGGAAAAGTTACCTCATCGTTCATTTTGTTAGTGAATCTAATAATTAATCCTAATTTACACGCCATATATTCTATAATAGTATCACCAATATTGAACAGATCTACTTTTAAATTTACCTAAATTTACAAATAAAAATTAATACTTATGACATTTAATTACAATTATAGTATTTTAAAGTAAATAAAATGTGTTTTAATGTTGATATTTATAATAAACATTTTTGATTCATATTATATAAGTTAATTCAATGCTATTATTAAGTTTTATGTACAGTTTTATGCTATTATTAAACTTTACAATAAAATGTGTGTAAAAAATGTAAACATGATCACTTATTTAAATTCTTACTTAACATATTATGTTGAAGTAAAGTATGTGAGAATTACAATATCTTTAATTATAAGGTTAAAATTAAATTAATGTTTACCCATTTAAATAACACAATTTCATCTAGATTAGTTAAATTAAGTTTGTTGTGCTGACAATAATAAGTATTATTAATGTTAATATCCAACACAGGAATAACTGATAACACGTAAAATTTTTGTTTAATTAAATCTAGTAACATTTTAATAAAATGTTTTTTAGGGGCAAATTAATTTTTAAATTATTAAAAATTTATCAATTTAAATACTGTATAATGCACTGTAAAACAAATAAAAATTCCTTATAAAGATTTGTACGTAGTATTAAGTATTATTAAATTAATTTAGTATTGTGGTAATTATACAAAATAAAATTTATTACAGTTGTATTTAAAACATTGCAACAATTGACCACTTTATTATTAAATTTACTATGTATTCATTGATCATGATAAATATTTACAAGAAATGTACATTTTGTGTACAAAAATATAAGTTATATAAGAAATTCTCTCTCTCTCTCTCTCTCTCTCTCTCTATCTCTCTCACACACACACACATAAAAAAATATTTATTCAGTACTGAATTAATTATTTTGTTTACCATTAACTAGGTCACATATTGATTATTTAAACATAATAATTAAATGCCCATTTGTTAACTATATTCTAATATAATAAGTAATTGTCTTATAATTATATAACACTTTTTGGAACAAATAGCAGCGCATAAAGACTTTATACACTATTAATCCGGAAAACAATAGTAAAATTTAATAAACAGTTTATGACGCTTTTCAAAGTTATTTATCTAGGGTTATTTTTAACTTAATAGCATTTACGTAAATAAATTAATGAACAATATAAAGGGCTTATCATTTGTAGATAAATTAGCAATCGATTTATTTGATTGAGATAATTAAAATTTGAAAAACATTTTTATCATTTATAAATCCTGATTAAATTTTTAAAAATAGCTCAATTATAGATAACTTAATAGGTTAATCTTATAATAAATTTAATGTAAACAAGCTTTATGAGTTATTTAATGATAACCATTTAACATTATCAATGATAATTTTTTATATCTAAATCTTATGGATTTATTAAAAAATTATTAAAAATAAATCATATAAAAGCGAGCTAAAATAAGTAATTTTATATGACAGATAAAATTCTATTAAATTGTATAATAAATTTATTTATAATGTTACAAAATAAAAGTTCTGCTAATTGTATAATAAGCGATAGTTTTTTAAAACGAGCTTGCCGATTACTTTATTTTATAATCGTGCTGTCCATAATTGCCGAATTCATCCTGGTCGGGTTGCGTATTCATAAAACAACATTTTACATCGAGTACAATCATCTAATATACATGACATTTGTCATCATCGTGGTCATTATTATATCATCATGCTTATTAATTTACATTAAAACTTATTGCAAATATCACACCGAAGTCATTGTTGAAACTATGAGTATCGCACTATATCTGATGGCAGACAATGGCCATCACCAATGATTAATCTACCTACAACATTGGACAGCTATCGTAAACCACCTAGTTATAATAATATTTATAGAGATATGTTATATAAAATATAAAACTATTACCTTTTAATTAATTTTTTATTGTAAATATAATTATATATGTAAATAAAATGCTACATTTTTATTAAATGACAAAAGTTGTTTCTAATATAATACTACTACTAACATATTACTTTGCTTTATATATTGTAAATTATTATGCTTGTTAAATGTATTAGTTAAAATATTTTGATTTAATTGTCACAATAATGTAACAATTATTAATAAATCAAAGCTTTTAGTATTCATTAAATTTTTAGAAATATTAAAAATTACAATTTATATAAAAGTGTAAATGTTGTGTACAGCCAATTGATGACATTAAATCTGGGATTAACTATGAAGGTAATTAATGATTATTAATAAATTTTAAAATATATTTCATAATAATCTACAATATACAGTATCTATAATTATGTTTAAAAACAATCATTATCATGTTTTATTATAGTTAGCAAATGTTGGTAATGTTTGCTATAAACTACTTCTATCTGTCCCATTGAATTTGTCCTTAATTAGATTAACTTATCACGTTATGAAATTTTTATTGTTGTCTAATTTATACACCTAAAATATTTGTTACTTAAAATACTTACATTAATAACATTATGACGATTAATATATTTGACTTTATAGATATTTCATTAAAATTATTTAATAAAAACAATATTATCAATTAATACAGAAATAGTTTAATTAAAATGTTACATAACCACTTGCATTTTGAACCTCATTTATAGAAATATTACAATAGCCAGTTCTACCCTGTTAAATTTATGACATTTAATTATTTTATGAACATTATTATATTCTTAATAAAAGCAAATTGTAAATATGTTGCATTAAACAAATGCACATCAATCATTTTTTAAATTGTCAAATCTTTCTTACAAACTGTAATAAAATACTAAACCTTATTTATATTGGCTTATATATGACATTTATTTGATTAATATTGGCGGAACCATCAAAATGCTCCTATTTGATTAATAATCAGTTATTAATTTAATCTATTAGTTTATTATTTTAAAATTTAATTTAGTATTACATTTATGGTATATTATCAATTTTATAATTTATAACTAATTAAAATAATATAATTTAATAATAATTAAGTAAACGGGTAATTTGTTGTGATGTACGCGTAACGAGGTAGATTAATTATTGTCCTCGTGTTTATTCTATTACCATGTAGACTAATTTTCAATTGTTTATTATTATTATTATTCATAATTTGAACATGTTGCAATTTATAATAAATATAATTGTTATAAATAAAAACATAGCATTTGTGCAAAACATTTGATAACATTATAATAAAGAAACCAAACCATAGACTGATATACGAAGCGATAAATGAGACAAACTCTTCAAACGGTATTTTTGGCGAATGGCTATG